AGGGAGTCCCCCCAACTGCCCCTCAGGACCCAGAGAAGAGGTGATGTGGTTGTGGATCCAGGGGACAGAACGGGGGCCCCGCCCAGGTTCCCCCTGAACCTGGAGTTATCTCTGGGTCCTCGGGACCCGACCAATGAGCAGGGCCACCCAACCTGGAACATGGGCTGGAAAATCTGGGTCTCAGCAGCTGGGGGGAGGGGGACAGAGTTGCCAGATTTAGCAAAAATCAACAAACAAACCTACAAACAGGATGTCCTGCATGTCCCATGCAACATTTAGGACACTTGTATTCAACAAGTATTTGTTCTTTACCCGGAATTCAGATTTAACTGGGAATTCTGCATTTAATCCGGAGACCCTGGGGGACAGTCAACAGGCCCAACCCACTTGCCTCGTCCCCCGCCCCCTCCGCTGCCCCCCTCCAGGGTGTCAGTGTGCTCATCTCTATTTCCCACAGCTGGTGCAGGTTGACGGGGCCGACTGCCTGATCCCGACACACGGGGGAGCAGGGAGGGCCCTGGAACCCTCCCCAAAGGACTGGGCCTTGGAGGCAGGCCTGGCTCTCAGGTGGCAGAGTCTGGCTGGCTTTGCCCAGGGCCTGCTTGAGCTCCAGGCCACCATTGAATGAGCCCCTGTCTGGCTCTGAGCTTCCCCTGGCTGCCAACCCTGCCACCTTCTCCCCCAGGTGGGCTGGCCCTCTCTGGTGGAGAAAAAGGGGAACCCACCAGAGTCCTCTAGAAAAGAGGAAGGTGTCACTTGCAGGGTGGTTTCAGCGGGTAGAGGGCTTGACCAGTGGCTGAAAATGAGGAACACTGGCCAGGAAGCACCCACCTGGAGACGGGGCCACTGCCTCCGAGGAGTGGGTGGAAAGAGGATCCAGCACAGGCGGGGGTTTCCAGCCTGCACCCCACCTCCTGAGGAGGAAGGTGTGGAGGGGTGGGACCCACAAACCAAAGTGGGAGCACAGGCTGCATGCCTGTCCCAGCAGCAGCCCCGCCAGCCGGCAATGTCAGATTTCCTGGGCTGCTTGGTGCACTGGGGGGCTGGGGGTACCTTTGGTGGGCCTGAGTGGGGCACTGCCACGCCCCAGCTTCTACAGGAGACCACTCTGTCTTTGCACAGACTCCCTCAGCTTGACTCCAAAGCCGCTCCAGCCTGTCCCCAGCTTCTGTTCCCACCCGTGTGGGTACCTCCCCGGGTGGGGGACCATCCCAGAGCAAGCCCTACATTTTTCCCAGGGAGACCCAGGCCTCGGTTCGCAAGAGGTTGAGGCTGTTCATTTCCCGCCTCTCTGTCCTCCTTCAGTTTAAGGAGAGGGGTGTATGCTGCTCTAGGTGTGGGTGGCAGGTGGGTGAGGCTGGGGTGGTGGAGGCAAGGAGGGCGTGAGGAGGGTGCGGCCACCTCCGGGTCCTAAGGCTTGTGTTCCAGGGGTGGGGCAGAACTCGAGGCTCCATGACTGGGAACCCTTTGTGAGCCCATCACAGAATGTCACCTCTCCCCCCAGCAACAGTGACTCACAAAGGTGGCTAGTACAGATGCCACCTTTGGCACCTTTCCATCCTGGAAAGTCCAGGTCATAAAGGCCATTAGGACTGAGCCCAGAGGAGGGCGTCCCAACACAGCCCGGAGCCACGCTCGCCCCCACGGCTGGGCTGGGCTGGGCCAGCCCTCCCACCTCCGCCCGGCCCTGGGACTGCGGGTGGAGTCAGTCTCACGCCGAGCATGTGGCAGCCTTGACGCCCATGTGTGTCGTCTGCTTCGTGAAGGCTCTCGTTCAAGTGTTCAAGATCTACCTGACTGCCAACTACACCAACAACTTCCGCAGCTGGCCGGTAGACTTCCGCTGGGATGACGTGCGGGACCCCGGTGCCGGTGGCAGCGGTCACCGTGCGCTGACGTGCACTGCGGCTGTGGCCGGTGTGTGGTTGCTCCGGGATGCTGCGCTGGGTGCAGATGCGCCCGGGAGGCCACTGCGTGGGTCACGCAGCCAGATGCAGTGCCTCCTGCAGCAGATCCGTGAGCTGCCTGGCCAGATCGCCAGCTACGTGCTGGCCCACTCGCTGGGCCGCTGGCTTGTGTACCCCGGCTCCATGTTCCTGATGACCCAAGCGTTGCTGCCACTGCTGCAGCAGGGCCAAGAGCGCCTCATGGAGCGCTACCACGGCCGGCGAGCCAAGCTGGTGGCCAGTGACGGCAACCAGATCGACACCATGTTCATGGATCGCCGCCAGCACCCGGGCAGCCAGGGCCGCGGACTGCACCTGGTCATCTGCTGTGAAGGCAATGCGGGTTTCTACGAGATGGGTTGCCTGTCAGCACCGCTGGAGGCTGGCTACTCAGTGCTGGGCTGGAACCACCCCGGCTTTGGGGCCAGCACCGGTGAGCCGTTCCCCCAGCACGATGCCAATGCCATGGACGTTGTGGTCAAATATGCGATGCACCGCCTACACTTCCCACCCGCCCACGTGGTGATCTATGGCTGGTCCATTGGCGGCTTTACAGCCACCTGGGCCACCATGACCTACCCAGAACTGGGTGCGCTGGTACTGGATGCCACCTTCGACGACCTTGTGCCCCTGGCCCTGAAGGTCATGCCCCAGAGCTGGAAGGGACTGGTGGTGCGCACTGTGCGAGAACACTTCAACCTCAATGTCGCTGACCAGTTGTGCAGCTACCCTGGACCAGTGCTGCTGGTCCGGCGCACGCAGGACGATGTAGTCAGCACCTCGGGCCCCCTGCGCCCCCTGGCGTCCGGCGACGTGCAAGGCAACCGCGGCAATGAGCTGCTCCTGCGCCTGCTGCAGCACCGCTACCCCGCTGTGATGGTTCGGGAGGGTCTCGCCGTCGTGGCTCGCTGGCTGCGCACCAGCAGCCTGGTGCAAGAGGCCGCTTTCTATGCGCGCTACCATGTGGACGACCAGTGGTGTCTGACACTGCTGCGCTCCTACCGAGCGCGCTGCCAGGCGGAGCAGGACGACGGGCAGGCTCGGGGGCCGCATGGGCTCCCCTTCCCGTGGCTGGTGGGTCAGGGCTTGAGCCGGCGGCGCCTCCGGCAGCTCGCACTGTTCCTGGCGCGCAAACACCTCAAGAACGTGGAGGCGACTCACTGCAGTCCGCTGGAGCCCGAGGACTTCCAGCTGCCCTGGAGGCTGTAGCTGCAGCCCCTGTAGCAATTGGTTCTGTAGCAGTTGCTTATCTTCAGGGCCTCAAGGCTGGTCCCCTTCCCAACCAGTAAAGCTGGCCTGCCCTGGGGATCCCAGCCTAGTGTCTAGAGGTGGGGAGGGCATTCCCGGCTCCCTTTCTTCCCTTGGGTATGTCCCACTCTGCTCCTGACTCCTAAAGGGAATGCAGAGCTGACCCGAGTAATGGCAGCGCTGTGTAATAGGGGGCCTTGAACACATCCAAACGATGGCGGGAACATGAGCTGTAGGGTCCTCGGAGGTGCCATTCTCTCAGCCTGGGTGACAGGGTAGCTCCAGGAAAGATGGGAGTTGAAAGGTTTGAACGAGTTGCCCATAGCTATGAAAGGACTGTGATGTCGCCACTCCACGGGTCCCCCTCCCCACATCCACTCCTGGCTTCTCCAAGAGGGGCTCAGTGGGATTCCAGACTCAAAGGAGCGGGTGCACACGGTGCTGTGTCCAAGTGGGGCCACAGGCACACCTGCAGCAATCGCTCACCACTGGGCGTCCGCTGAGCCAGGCCTGGCTCGGGTGCCACGCAGAATGAGAGACAAGCTCCTCTGCTTCCCACTATCTGTGATGCAGTCACTTTCTGTCTGTCTGCCCTGAACTGTATGAAGCAGAGACTAGGGGCTGTCCCCAGCCTCTGGGGACAGGCTGGCCAGGGTGGGCTGAGCAAGAAACTCTGGAAAAACAGAAATAGTTGAGTGGGGCAGCACCAGAGCAGGATGCGGCCATGATGCACCGGGGCAAGTAGAAGCAGAGGTAGGTATGCATGGTGACGTAAACAGGGAGATGCCTGTGGAAGGTGGTGAGCTTTGAGCTGAGACAGAAAGAGGACTTAGGTGAAGGAAGGGGCTTCCATGCCTGGGGGCCACAGTGGCTTGGCTGGAGGTGGAAGTACAGCCCCTGTATGGTCAGATCCCAAAGGCTTTGCATAACATTTAAGGCTTGGCTTCTAGGGACAAGTAGGAGATGAAGAAGGGCAATTGTGGGAACTGAACAGGACTGGTTGCCTGACAACCCCCTACACCTCGCCTTTGGGAAGTCTGGCAAGTGAGGCTGTTGTTCCAGAGTCTGCTGGAAGCCCATCCACTAGCTGAGTGGCCTTGGCAAGGCACCCTAACCTCAGTTTCCTCAACTCTAAAGTGGGCTCCACCTTGCTCACGAGGTGGCTGAGACAAGCCGAGGACATCAGCGCACGCCGCACCGAACTGGAGAAGGGTGCTCGAGGCCCGGTGCCGGCACGGGGACCCAGTGGCCTCCAGTCTGTTGAGGGCAGCGGTGCCTGCAGGACAAGAGGAGGGATCGCGGTCACGCTTTTTTCTGCGCAACCCGCAAACAAATAAACAAAAATGACCGTAAATGGGCGCACTAAAATAAGAGGGCAGACTACGGGGAGAGGCTAACCCCAAAGTCAGGGGCCTCGGAGGGGGTCGCCAGGGATCTGAATCTGACCCATCGAGGTCACACCCGTGAGCTCTGGCACTCGGAGGCATCGGGAAACCTGCCAGGGGCCTGGGTGAAGGGCTTCCGCGGCGCCATACTTAGCCAGTCCTCCCACTTCCCACCTTCCCCGGGTTCTGCGTGCCGTTCTACCTGTGCGTCTCACTGATGGAGCCGACCTGGGAGGGGTTTCCTCAGAACCCGTCCTCCCTTTCCTGCTTGGTCCTCAGCCTTGGCCAATGAGGTTGAAGTACATGGACCGGACTGGGCCATCAACTCTCTTATTGGACAGAGCTTGTGGGGGAGGGACAAAAGCGGAGCGCGAGCCAAAGCGGAAGTGGGCCGTCGCGTCGCTGATTACGTAATGCCACGGCGGCTGAAGCGGTTCCGCTGGCTAGTGTGTGCGCGGCGAGCGTCTCCCAGTGCTGCCCGCTTGGCTCCTGCACTCGCGATCGCGACCCCGGCCCGGAGTCCAGCTGCGGCCGGGCCGCTCTCTGAACATGGACTCTGCTGGCCAAGGTACGCTGCGGGCCCGGCGGGCCCACGCTCTGCTCCTCCCGGAGTCTCGTCTCGGACTCTCGGCCTCCTGCTCTGCTCCCCCACCCCCCAACCCTGCGACCCCTCTCGGCTCCCAGGCGGTCGCGGCGTGCGTCTTCCGTTCACAGCTTGGACCGCCGCGAGGACTGGGTCCCCGACACCACCCTCCCCCCGGGCCCCAGAGCTTTGAGCTTCCTCACTGCAGGCAGCTCTCGTTAGCCCCCGCCCTCCGTGCCTGCGTTGGGCTGTCAGAGACGTTCCCTCTGGACTTGGCCCACACCTTGCGAGGTGTGCGCGTCTCCCGGGGGACTGGGGAGTTGCGCAGGCGAAGCCGTGCTCGTGTTGAGTGCGGCACCCCTTGGGTGGCAACGCTGCTCAGAGCGCAGCCTATTCCGAGGTTGTCTCAGGAGCGGGAGGGCGCCGTGAGTTAGGGGCACACCCAGCGTACCCGACCCATTCCCAGACAGACACCGGACCAGTTAAGATGGTGGATCGGAGTGGGTGTGGCGCAGGCCCAGGATATGCAAATCTGGAGAAGGTGATAAAAAGTCGGTTTCCCTTTACGAGGCTCTGGGGCGGGGGTGTTTCTAAATGTCTATGTTGACACAGCTACACTGGATAATTTCAGGGTGCTCTTACCAGCATTATAGTTAAACATTAGAATTCTTGGGTTCTGATAGTATTCTGTAGGTATTCCTACTTTTGAAGTCTACTTACAAAATAGTTGAACGTCAAAAGCTCCTGCGGGGGCCTTGAGACGTTCAGGAGGCTTTTCACTGCTTGGTTTGCATCCCTAGGTAGTTAAGCATCATAAGCACTGGATTCTGATCATGAGAATATGCCCGAGAACCTTCACTGAGCACCTACTGTGTGCCAGACACTGTATTAAGGTTGCTTCTCAAATGACCTTTTTCTGTTTTCAGAAGAGCCCTTGGAGATTGGGTTGCTCCCAACTGCAGATTATTGTATAGGGTTCGGGAGCCAGGGCCCACCCAGCGAAGAACCCACCCATGCTCATTCTCTGTGGGTCCTTTGGTAAGACCCTTTCCTGCCCGCACCACGTGCTGAGGCTGGTATCACACAGTGTCCAGCATGTTCGGCGAGTGCCCAGTTTCTGCCTGGGGGTGACTTCCATGGGATCCAGTTTTAGCTTTCTAGTCAGAAACTGTCCGAGAGCCTTCATTTATTTTTTCAAAATAGGGAAAAAGAGAAATTTCAAGGCGTTTACCGGATTTGAGTAGGTTCAACATAGTGGATACAGGTGACAAAGTAAAATCATGGAGGCTGATCCCAGTTAAAAACCAGAACGAGTTGATTTCACAGTGGACGTGCTTCATTTTGTGAACATTGCTTGAGCACCAGAGGAGCGCCCAGCTGGAGCATGTGGGTGGGGCGTGAAGGGAACAAGATAGCAGGCTTAGTGGAGCATCTCTGGTTTTCAGTGCTTTCCATCTATTCTTAGCAGATAGGAGACAAACCTGTCTGCAGTTAAAAGCACTTTCCTTCTCTCTAGCCCTTTATGCTTTTTACTTAGTTTACTTTTAAAGGTGCCAGACACCATACAGAGGCTGTGTCCTCACTGTGTGCCAATCGAAGGGAGGGTGTTTTCAGTGGTAGTCATGTAGAAGTGCTGAGACCAGCAGGAGAGGCCTGCAGTAGCCCTCTGTGTCCTTGTGTGGTGGCTCGTGAGCTTGCAGCACTCAGGGAGATTGACTTGACGCGAAGGAAGCATAGTGACTGTGGGAACCTGCACCCAGCCTCATGTAGCTGGGGCATGTGCAGGCGTGCCGCGGGTCCTTGCAGGGCGGCGTGTGCAGTGCGTTCTCCTTGTGTGTAATCATAGCGTGGGCGCTGGCAGATTAGCTGCCTGGAAAGTGGTGCCCATGTTCACAGCCGTATTAAGTTCCTTGGCTCTCACAGTTCCCCGCAGCAAAGTTTTCCTGGCTCGGGAGACTTGTTCTCTCAGGGGAGCCAGCATTTCTAGGCCCTGAAGCGGCGCCTGGGGTGGTGTGGGTGTGCTGCACCCAGTAGGTGGCCTGGACTATCCTCACAGAAGTTTCCAGAGAAGAGGCTTTGTTAGTGTCCTGACGCCTGTCCTTTCCAACCCTTCCCTTCCCTTCCCCTCTGCCCCAGGGCTTCTCCATGACTCCTCCCTTGATGCGCTTTCTGGACTCATTTTGTCTCTGGCAGATATCAACCTGAATTCTCCTAATAAAGGTCTGCTGCCTGACGCCATGATGGACGTCCCTGTTGACACAGTGGGGGCCGCCCAGACGCCTGCTGCCGAGGGTCTGACAGAAGCGGAGGAGGAGGAGCTCAGGGCTGAGCTCTCGAAGGTGCATGTCTGGGCCTGTGGGCCTGGGGTGACCGGGAGTGGTGGCCTTCTCGGGCCGATGAGGGTCCTGAGGCTGGCATGGCTCTGCAGAATGTGAAGGCCGTCCCCACAGCCCCACAGGAAGTGCTCTTTGTAGCCCTAGCTTTGCGCCCGGCGCCTCGTGGGCACTCCATGAACAGCGTGTCCACGCAGGGACGGCTGCTCCCCACTGGAAGCTAAAAGTGCTTTACGTGAGCTTTTCAAAGTGAGTGAGTCCCTTAAGAGGAAATAGGGGTTCAGAACAAAAGCGTCAGAGTGTAATTTTTATTCAAACCAACTGCTAAGAGTGCGTTTCACTGTGGGACGCAGAGTCTAATAGCAATAGCAACTGAGTTGAGAGTCCAGAGTCTGGGGACAGGAGCTTGTTAGTGTACCACCCAAGTGTCCAGTCAGGCCCCTGCTTCTCAGAGGCCTCCCCCGTCTCCAGGGACACACCTGGTCTTAACACACCGTGGGTGCAGTCCGTGGTCTGGACAAATGGGCCTTCCGCCCCAGGACCAGGTTGGACCCCAGGAAAGCCTTCAGTCGGTGGCTTCCTCAGTGAGCAGCTGTGTGGAGGGGAGTTCGAGGACATGCAGGCCTCACCCTTCACCTTGGGCGAGTCAGCTCGAGACTGACACCACAAGGGCGTTTTCAGAGTGGGTCTCGGGGGACCTCTTGTGCCCCAAAGTTTCCAACCAGCCTGTCCCCAGGGCTGCTCTGCCTCGTGCCCTGGAGCCCTGTCCGTCATCCTGTCTGAGTCATTGCCGCCTGTGACTGGTGATGGTTTCTTTCAATGACTGGGTTGGCCAAAGAAGTCTGTTTGTTTTTTTCTGTAAAGTAAGAGGCGCTTTTTTCATCTTCACCAGTAACTTTATTGATTTGTATATTCTGAGTATGTTGGCTGCCTCCTGCTATTGGCTGGCAGAGGGTAGAAGCCAGGGTATTGCCGCACATCTTCCAGTGCATGAGAGAGCCCCGTGGCAAACGGTCACTTGGCCAGAATGTCAGCAGGACTGAGGACCTTGGCAAACCACTTTGGACACGTTCGATCAGTCAGCACCTTCTCCATACACTGCACATGTCTGCACAAATCTTTCCTTGCATTTCAGTTGCATTTTTACCTTTCTTGAAACAATAAAACAAAACATGCCCAAAATGCTACATACTTTCTCCATCTTCAATATTAAAATGGCTGCACTAAAATTCACCAACTTTGATAAGTTTAGAAAAAATGCATGTTGAGCCCTGGCTGACATGGCTCAGAGGATTGAGCGTCAAACCAGAAGGTCACTGGTTCGATTCTCAGGGCACATGCCTGTGCTGCGGGCCAGGCCCTTGGTTGGGGGGCGTGGAAGGCCACCGGCCAGTGTATTGCTCACTGTCTCATACGTTGTTTGTCTCTCTCTCTGTCCTTTGTCGTAGCTCTAAAAGCAAATAAATCTCCAAAACACACTGCTAGGAGAACTGTCACACTACAACCTAACAAACTTGTTCGAATGACGTTAAAGACAGCAAAGCACTACTAGAGCCATCATGTGGAAAAAACAAACTTTTTGGCCAACCCGGTAATTTCTACAGCAGAGTCTAGGGACGCACACCGCTCCAAGCTGTTTTTAGACCCTTAGTCCAGACAAGCACTTTCTAAAGGGAGGGGCTGTTTTCTTCAGGAACAGCTGCTCAGGTGGGAGCTGGACACGCTGAGAACTCCAGGCTGCGAGGCCGTCGGACGCTCCCTTCCAGCATCACTTCTTCCTTTCCGACCGAGGAGGTTCAGGCCTCACTGTCCGCCCACTCAAACTGCCTTAAGTGAAAGTGCCTCACACTTGGCTTTTGCCAAGGCCAGTGCAGGCCTCAGGAACGCAGGTGTCCTGAGAGCTGTTTCTCTGTCCCCTGGGACTCTGGCACCCGTCTGACGGCCAGCTCTGCATCCGTCCTGCTGCAGAGGCGCCGCGGGTGGGGCTGGCTGCCAGGCTGTCGGCCTTTGACCGGGCCTAGACCCAGCCTGAGGAGAAGGGGCATCGCTCCCCTGACTGCTGTGCCCAGTCCCAGGGCAGAGCCCAGTAGGCCTTGCTGAGTCACCTGCACGCGGTCGTGGAGACGGGCAGCCCCGTGGGGACCCCCGGCCTGGGGGCCAGATGGCCCTGCGGAGACTGGGCGCTGGCACCGCCAAGAACCGCCGGCGGCCGTCGCGCTGTCCCAGGACGAGCCGCCTGACCAGTGGCCTCCCACGGCAGCATGTGGGGGTGTCGGCCGCTTTCTGAGGCAGGGCATCTGACCATGTCCCCGCGTGCTCGTGCAGGTGGAAGAGGAAATCGTCACTCTGCGCCAGGTGCTGGCTGCCAAGGAGAGGCACTGCGGGGAGCTGAGGCGGAAGCTGGGCCTCTCGGCCCTGGAGGGCCTGAAGCAGAACCTGACCCGCAGCTGGCACGACGTGCAGGGCTCTCCCGCGTAGGTACCCGCTCCGCAGGGCGGGGCTGGGTGCGGGGCGCCTGTCTGGGAGTGGCCGCCGGGGGCCCAGTGTCCTCGACCCCACGGCAGTGCTTCCGCTCCCGGAGCTCAGGCCTGTGCCGGGTGGGAGGCGGGTGGACACAGTCAGCTGTCCCAGTGGATGTGGCCACGGGTGCGTTTCAGGGTCTGAAGTCGAGAGAAGCCTCGTTAGGTCCTGGATGAGACCTGCTCTCCTGTAGTCCCCGTAGCTCAGCAGTTGCTCAGGGGGATGTGAGCCCTTCGGAGTGTGATGTGGTCGCAACCCCAAGCCCTCTGAACCCGGGGAGTGTAGCTCCGGGCCACTGACCCCATGTCCTCCGAGGTGGGGGTGGGGATGCTGCCCCTGCCGAACATGCCAGGTCCCCACAGAAAGGCAGTCGTGCCGTTGCGTAAATCTGACCTGTGAAAAGTCTGCTTCAATGAAATCGTGGGTTTTCGAGTCTCAGAGGGCGACTGTCACAGAAGTTGTTTTGGGGCACAGGCTGTTCACCTCCTGCCCGTCACAGCCTGTGTTCCCAAGGGCCATCTTACATCGATGGGCCTGGCAGGGAAGCTGGTGTCCTCTGCCACCGCCTCCCCTGGGATCTGCCTGCAGTTTGAGACCCGAGGGGAGACAGTCTCCCGGTGACTCACCACCGACTTTCCCTCGTAGCTACGTGAGGACTTCCGAGACACTCGGGGAGTGGAGCGAGAGAGTGAGCCAGTCGGACCTGTGAGTGCCTCTGCCGTCGGCGCCTGACTTGCTCTTCCTCCCTCCTCCCGACCCGCCTGGCAGGGCCAGCGGGCTGGGCGCTCGGCACACACCAGTGCGGTGTTTTCGGGCTGTTCTCTTTCTCGTCTGCTTTTCCCTCCCAAACACAAATGAAACTGTGCCTCGCACCCCAGAGCAGGGCTCAGTCTTTGAAGGGAGTCCAGCCCCCGGCCACACTGAGCATGTCCCTGCCTGGCACACAGGTCCCTCAGAGAGGGCTCGAGCTGGGCCCGGGCAGCACGTCCGCCTCATAGAGGCTCCTCGGTGTCCATAATGGGCCGATGGTGAAGCGCCTCCTGACTGGTGTGGACGGTGGTGTCTGGGGGCTTTGGGACCTGCTTCCTTCCCCTGCAGACCCTGCTCCAGCTTTTGGTGCCCTGGTACGGGGGGGTGCCTTGAGCCTGAGGTGCAGGCCGTGCTACGGGGCACCCAGCTGCTGGCCGCACGGGATGAGCAAGTGCAGGAGATGCAGGGGCAGCCAGGCTCCGGCTGAGAACGGCTGCTGCCAGTCTGGGCTCCTTCGGGAGGTGGCAGAAGCCCACTTCTCTGTGCTACGCTCTGATTTTAGCTCTCAGGACCGTGTGGGGCGGTATTTTTAAATTGTCGCCTTCCAGAGTTTTCCTCTCTTGTTCAGAAGCCCTGTTGTGTTGGGCAGAAAGGGGGCGGCTGCTGCCCAGCTCCTCCCGATGGGGCCCCAGGGTGGCGAGCTGTGCTCGGAGCCCTTGCAGATGCTGTCACCAGGGAACATTGGTAGTTTGTGGCTGGTGCTGTTGGTGTCTGACCGACAGTAGCCGGTCATGGCCGTGGGCGTGGGAGGAGTGCAGCTGTGCTGTGCCTCGGGCCACATTAGGCAGCGCTTTCAGGTCGGTGCGGTGGCTGTCGGCAGCCAGGTCACAGCGCAGACTTCATCTGAAAGCAGCCTCGGGAGGTGTTCAGTGGGACCAGTTAGTTGCTCGCCGTCTCAGAGCAGTGCGGTTCCGAACGGGCCCTCCGGGAGGAGCTCGGGTCTGCACACTTTGCCGGGCAGTGGCCGTCCCCCTTCGTCTCCCCCCCTTCGCTTTTGGGAAAGTTGTCGGAGTGACGCTCCCGGGCTGGAGGCGTTTCTGTGGTGACTGCCCAGGAGGAGCCCGGGTGGTGCGCCTCCTCCTCTGGGGGAGGGAGCCCTGGGGTGCCCGGCCGGTGCCCACAGCGCTGCAGGCCCTGGTGTGGGGCTGGTGGAGTGGTGCGGGGGCGGGGGGGCACCTCCGAATGCAGCCGCCCCACGGCTCTTCCCGCGGGCCACTCTCAGTGAGTGTCACCCTGAGAGTGGCCACCGGGGCCCCACGGCGGCAGCTGACTCAGGAGGCCACTGTGCCGGGTGTGGTCGCAGCAGGGATGGGAAGCTCTGCAGAGCATGTGCTGAGCGCAGGGGCAGCCTCACCCGCCCACCGAGGACCAGGGACCCGCCCTTCCCGGCAGTTTTGTTCTCAGTTCCTCCTGTGCCGGGGGAGCAGGAGCCCAGCAGCCAGGTGGCCTGGTGTGGCGCTTCCTGGGTCTCGCTGTCCTCAGGAGTGAGGATCTCTGGCCGGCCAGACTGTGGCATGTGCCCACCCGCATGGAGCTTGGGGCGGCCTCGGGGGAAGGTGCCCCAGAGGGGGGTGGGCATTTCTTGGGGCTCTACTTGGTGCTGAGGGTGATGCCCGAAGCCGTGCCAGCCGGGCGTGCGTGGCTCCTGCACACAGGCCTGTCGCCCTCCCCACACGGCCCCTCAGCGGCTTCACCGTGAGGCTCCTGGAGAGGTCGCAGGTGGCACGTGTGTGCACACCCGGGAGGCCGAGGCCTACGGAGGGTGGGGATGCGCCCTCTGTGGGCCCCACAGGGTGCTGTCCTGCATGCCACCCCAGGGGGCGCTGTGCCTCTCCGCAGACTCCTGGTGCAGCCCCTGTTTGGCTTCTCTGACCTGTGTCCCGGCCTGGCCGTGTGGGCACAAGCAGAGCTCTCAGTGCGGCTCTGTCCCTAAAGCCCCTGCCTCCGCCCAGCTCACTGCAGCACACCCAGAATGTCGCCGTGGCCTCTCAGGCTCCTGGTCCCAGGGATGCTGGGTTTGGAGGCAGGTCGTGCGTTAGTATTTCTGAAAGGAGCTGTCTCGGGTCCTCGCTGTCCTCACACCTGGTGTGTTACAGGCAGTGCCGCGGCTGCAGGTGCACGGAAGGCTGTTTCTTGCAAGTGACGTTATTAACTCCCTGTGAAGTGAAAGCATTTCATCAGCCTAGGTCTGGGGGCGGGCTCTGCAGGTACTGTGAGTCCCAGGGAAGGCACAGTGTCTTTCCTCGGCAGGCAGTGTTCTGGGTCCTGACTGCCACAGTTTGGCCGGACCCTGAGACAGGTCGTGGTGTGGGTGGCAGCTCCAGGCTGAGACGGGTCTGAGGGCCAGCTCGGGCAGGTTGAGGGCTCAGGAGGTGGGCCCGAAGGAGGAGGGCAGCAGGCATTCTCAGGGACCCCCAGCAGGCAGCCGTGCAGAGTGGATGGTGGGGGGGGTGGCTCAGGAGACCAACCCACTGCCGGAGCCCTCTGGTGCTGCGGGCGTGCCGGCGGGCCCGTGTCAGCTGGCGTCCTGAGAGCCCGGCTATCTCAAGCCGTTGTTCTGCGGCCCCAGGTCGACCAGAAGGGAGCTCTTGGGTCCGAGCTGCTGGAATGTGTTCATGGCAGCAGCTGGACGGAAGCCGAGGGCCCTGGGCCTGAGCTCTCTGGGCCAACCTGGCGTGTCCTCGCTGTGAGCCAGGATCAGCCCTGGAACTGAGAACCATGGCACGAGGGGGTCCCCGCGGTTCTGAGCAGACGCAGTGACAGCGCGGCAGGTGGCAGTGGGGGAAGCTTCCTGAGGGTGGTGCCTGGGAGTCTGGGGGATGTTTTTCTGGCTTCGGCCCCAGACCCAGGGCCTCTGCAGCCCCAGGTGCTGCTTCCGCAGAGCCAGAGTCACTGCCAGAAGACGAGAGGGTGGGGCTGGTGGGTCTGAGAGAGGCGGAGGAGCTGTAGAGTCCGCTCGGGGTCAGGACTCAGGGCTCCCAGCTGGCGTGGCTCCGTGGATGGAGCGCCGGCCTGCAAACCGAAGGGTCACCAGTTCGAGTCCCAGTCAGGGCACGTGCCTGGGTTGCAGGCCTGGCCCCCAGTTGGGGGGTGTGCGAGAGGCAGCCACACATTGGTGTTTCTTTTCCTTTCTTTTTCTCTTCCTTCCCTTCTCTCTGAAAAAAAAATTAAAAATCTTTGAGAGAAAATAACTCAGGGCTGCTGCAGGCCTGGAGGCCACGGCCTGAGGTGCTGCTTCCTCCCGGGGCCCCCATGGGGCTCAGGCAGGGCTCCCTCCGGCCATCCCGCAGCTCTGTGCCGTCTGGGCGCTGTGGTCCTTGGCTGCGGGTGCGGGTGGTTGGATGCCCCTTGGGCTTGGTCGGATTAACTGTGTTTTTCTTCCCAGTTACAAGAAGACCCAGGAGACTCTCTCTCAGGCGGGACAGAAGACTTCAGCTGCCCTGTCCACCGTGGGCTCCGCCATCAGCAGGAAGCTCGGGGACATGAGGTGAGGCCCACGCTGTGCCGCTGCCCCTCCGCCCTAGGCCTGGGCCAGTCAGCTGAGGTTTTCAGGGTTTCTGATCTCTGGAGCAGGGGTGTCCAACTCGCAGCCCAGGACGGCCGTGAACACGGCCAAACACAGAAGCGTAAATTTACTTAAAACGTGAGGATGTGGTTTTTTTTCTTTGTGATTACGTGTTGCAGTGTCACGTAGAATAAACACATGGACGTGCTCGCCATTCGCACGTCTGTGTGCCTTCGGTTTTACGCCAGCGCTCGGCCTCCAGCGTGTCCTCTTCCCAGCGCAGGCGCAGAGCCCACACCAGCAGGTGCTGCCTGTGCTCGTGGTGAGTTCCTGAGGCAGCGACTTTCAACACTGTCTCAGCTGCCACTGCAGCGGGTGGCGTTTAGTGGCACAAGTCAGGCCAGCGTTCGCACCTGATCGTGAAGGTGCTTCCAGGCCTCAGTGGTGCCTCGCACAACGCCCGCCTCGTCCTGCGTCGGCCGCCGGGAGAGCTGTGGGAGGGCCAGGCCTTGCTTTCTGTTCTCCCGTCAACTAAGTTTCATACTAGAAGTACACGAAGTCCCTTATCGTTCCCGGGTTTCATCCCAGCATCGCTTCTGCAACGTCTCAAAGTGAAACGCCCAAAAAGAGAGTAATTATAGAGGAAGAAAGATTGCTCAGTGAGAAGGGGACAGACGGCCACTTTTTTGTCAGGCGAATAGTGAGGCGTTCTGCCTCATTCATAGGGGATTTGTGCAGATCTGTGCGTTTGAAAAGCGTTAGGACTAGAGTTTGAAAAGCGTTAATGTGCAACATGCTGCCACATTCAGCGTGTATGAAGGGTTGTGTTGTAAGGATAAAATAGTGGAACAGAAAAAAGGATCTCCTCAACAAAATTTTTTTCAAAAAGTTACAACTTGGGCAGATTCCATTGTGAAAGCAGTTGTGTGGAAGCACGTTTGGAGCAAAAGTCGGAAGCCTAGAGTGACGGTGACTCGATAAGCGGAGGAAGCGTGGCCGGCGTGATGGGCCCCGAAAGCCGGATGTACCTCAGATGGGCTCGTCTCACCGACCGCAGCCAGGCGAGCTGCAGAAGCCGGAGAATCTGCTGAAAGATGTTCGGCGAGTGAAGCTGCGGGTTTTCGGTTTGGGGCTTTGGTGATGACGGTCGTTCGCACCGATGCCATAGGCGGGGCTCACTGGCCATTTTCATCAGAGGTGTTGATGGCGGCGTGATGTCACTGAAGAAGTGGGTCGTTAGTGCCACCGAAAGACACAGCGGGACCCAGAGAGGCACGAGCAGCGGTGAGAAGTGCGCTGGAGCGGCTTTCCTTGCCCGTTGCCAGCACGTCTGGTGCAGTCACTGTGGCTGGTGCCCCGGCGGCGGTGCAGGGTTGGGGGGCAATAAAGCTAACAGAAGATGGTGCGATGGCCGCCCAGACTGGCGTTCCATGAAGTGTCATCCCCTCGTACGTCAGGGAAATTTATGCACAAAAGCTTTAAAAATGGATAACGTCACTCAAATCAGCATCAGGACTGATTTTCGTAAGAGCCGAGGGACTGAGTCAGCGCCGGCTCCAGGAATTCCTTCGAAACACCGGTGCCGACTGTGGCGACGCCGCTCACCTCTCGGAACACGATGGCCCAGTCCAGGCCAAACACTGGAAAAGCGCTGTGATTTGTAACGCGTTGTCCAGTCGTTCATGGCGTCAAAACACAGATTTGGGCCGGAACTGGACGATGAAAACTGGCTTACAGATCTAGCACGTTTGGTGGATTTACATGAGCTACACATGCGTCGTCTGGGTGACACCAGCTCATCAATACCATGTTTCAAACCAGAAGGGCGTTCCCAGCGAAGCCGGAGTTAGGGCGAGCTCGGACAAAGGCAGACAACTTCACGCATTCCACCCCGTTGGCTAAACACAGCCCTGTGGACAGTGGAAGACACGCAGCCTTGCTTTTCGATTTGAAGCAAGGATTGGAAAGCAGATTTTCCCAGATTTCTGGGAAAAATCAGTACTTTGCTACGGTTGTGGCTCCTTTTCGGGGGACGTAAACACGTTACCAGCGGATTTTCAGATGGGATTCGAACAGCTGCAATCTGACATTCAGCCTGGAGGAAAATCCGTTATCGAGTCTCATTACAGGTCCTGTCTTCCCAGAGGCAAACACCCGCGCTTCGCAGCCGCGTCTCACTCGTGCCGCAGCGCCTGCGCGTGCGAGCAACTGCACTCGAGAATGAAACGTGAAGAGTAAGATCAGAGCCAACACATCGGAAGAGCCGCTGCAGAGCTCGCTGGGACTTGCGGCCGCTTCTGTCACACCAGACACGGGCACACTGGTCTCTGCAGTGTCGAACACCCACCTGTGTGACGTGGCCTCTTGTCCTTTCATGATGAAAATACAGAGCTCGTCGGTGACGTTCCACTGCTTAGATGTGGACACTCCCCGCATCGGTGATCGCACACTTGGGCCTGCTCACCGGTTTCGAAGGGTTGCGAGGAGGCCGCTGCATACTTAGGGTGGTCACGTGAGGCTCTTGGCTTCTCTGTGGTGGCAGTGTCGCAGACACTACGCATGGGCCTTCCTTTTGCTCATCAGTTGTCGCCAGTGTTAATGTGTTTAGTGTGTGTCCCAGAGAAGCCAAAAGGTTGGACGCCCTGTGGTAGCGGTGCTGCGGGGAACCCCGGGGCCCCAGGGCTCAGGTGCACGTCCCCCCGGAGCCCCCAGTAGCCCCGCCCTGACGCCTGCAGTGCCCACGGCCTCATGGACGAGACGTGAGACAGATTCACACGGACTCCCGAGTCCTGTGGAGGAAAAGGGACGGCACGGCCACTCTCTCAAGGGGGGAGTGCCCCGACCCTCGCCTAGAGAGGTTTTTATTGGGTTTAATTTGCACAGGAACACAGGTACAGCTCATTAATCATTGTCAGGCAGTAAGGATGGAACAGTAGGTAGCTTACAAAGAACTATTAGGGCTTCTTCTGAGTCAGGGTCTATCAGCTGAAAAGCTACAACACTTTGGGAAACGAACTCATCTTCTGCCCAGGCCTTCACCATTTAGCTGAGAGCATCCTTAGCAAAGCAGGCTTCCCAGGATTTGACATCTCCTTTCTCAGGCCTGCTCACCGGGGCAGCCCGCCCTTTCCGGCACAGGGCTGCACTGCTCTCTGTCATTGTTTCAGGCTTAAGTCAGGCAGAGGAGGCAGATAACCAAGGAATTTTTGGAGACTTCTCGTTCTCTCGGACCCGGGAGTCAGGTTTTGTCAAAGCTGAAGGGCGAGGGTCCATCACCCCCCTTCTCCATAGCCCCCAAGTCCTTCCCTGGGGCCTCCACACGATCATGCCTGCCCTAGGTCATTCCACCCTTGGGGAATCTTACCGGTCACTGGCTAACTGGTCAAGTATTAGGGGCCAGTTATGAAAAAAGGAGCAGAAGCGGCGCCCCTCCAGGGAGATAAGCTGTGTCTCCTTAGTGGCTTAAGGTCTGAAGGTTGCTCACTCAGCCTTAGCTGAGGGGGGTTACGGCTCCTGAAACCAGACAGGGTGGTTCCCAACACCACCCAGCTGGCCCAGGGACCCTTGTTTGCAGGTTTTTCTGCGACTCTGGCAGAGGGTGGTCCCGGGGGCCTCTGCGAACATCTGAGACCTAGGAGGGTGACACTGCTCTTTGCGGTTCTGTGGGAAGAGAGTGACTCTGTCCTGGGGGTTGGCGTCTGGGTGGACAGGTGTGTGGGCAGGCTGGCCACCAGGACCTGTCCCAGACAGGCTTGCAGTTTCTTTGGGGACTGTGCCCGGCCCAGGTCAGACGCTGGGGGCTCCAGCTGAATGTGTTGTGCAAGGCTGACCAGAGCCTCACGGCCACCAGAGGTGGCTCTGGAACACAGCCTGGGGCCAGGGAGTGTGGTGTGGCCCAGGCACTCGCGGGCTGTGGGGCAGCACCTGCCCTCAGCTGTGCCCTTGGCTGGGACAAGACAGGTCAGTGAGTGGCAGTGTGGGTGTAGGTCGGGCCCCACCCTTGGGGTTTGGGGTTGCGCCCCTTTCTATCCTGTGTCTGGAAATGCCCCCTTGCAGCACCGCCACACCCCGAGAGAAGCGCAGGGCGGCATGGCCGGTGGGCGTGGCGTGCTGGGCCGCCACACTCTGCCCCTTGACCCCCGCCCTGCTTGGGTTTGGTGTTTCCCCGCCCACCGGCCTGGCGGTCGCCGCTCAGCCAGAGTCGAAGACAAACGCCAACACCTGGGGGCCACACCGTCCAGCACAAGGCGGCTTCTGCCAGTGCCCTGCCCACCTTCCCTGTGTTTGTTTGATGGGACCGTCTCCCCTAACTGTGTTTGAGAACCTTCCAACCGGTAGAGAAGCGGAGCAGTCGGTGGGCAGACTGTGTTCCCTCTGCCCTCGCACCCCGGGGCTCTGGCCGAGCTCCTGAGCATCAGGGCGGGGGGTCCTACGGGTTACCCTGTAAATGTAGGCCTTGCCCAGCTGTGACGTGGACGCCCGAGGACCCCCCACACTGTGGCTCTGCACTGCCAGCCAGGAGGGGCTGTGGCGGCTCCTCCTGCAGGGCCCTCCACTGGGCCAGTGCTTGCCTGGGTGTGTTCCTGTGACGCGTCTCATTTGGTGTTAGATGGGTCGCTGCCACAGCTGTGAATTGGGGCACCTGCTTTGGCCACCTGAGCTGTGCTGTGGTAAGCCCAGCGACAGACTGATGACACCGCTGGTGGCCTGGCCTCGCTCCCAGGGACTGCCGAGGCTGGCCAGCTGCCCCTGCACCACCGGGGTGAGCAGCGCGTCAGGTTGCGCCTGTCCCCTCCTCAAGTGCTGGGGTGACACCGGTGTCTGCTGGGCCCCCAAGCCGCCTCCGTTGGGGACATGCGCTCACTCACCCTGAGGGGTAGTCTGTGCGGCCCGCCGCCCCGGGAGGCCCCACGTGTCCCTCTCTCTGCTCAGAGACTGGCAGCCCGTCTTGGCCACACTGGGACACTTGCTGTCCCTGTGCGTGCCGTGCGCTCCTGTGCTCTGTGTGCATGGGCCAGCCTCTGGGGAGCCAGGTTGTGCCTAAGGCGCTGGGGGAGGTTGACCTGTTTTCTTTCCAGTGTGTCTTGCCCTGGGGACTCTTCGTCTCCCAGGGGTGCTGTGAACTCTGACCTCTCCGGGTCCTAGATGTGGCCCCATTGTCTCCCCATGTGTCTCAGCTGGTTGAGGCTGAGGCCGGTTACCTTCCCCAGTTTTGAGTTCCTGGTTGCGAGCTCACCACCTGAATGGCAGTCGGGTTCAGGGAGGTGTAGGCTGGACGCTCAGGGCTGGGACCCTAACGGGCACTTACGTGTCCGGGGCAGGGCTCAGGGCAGCTGCCGGAGCCAGAGGCCTGGCTGGAGCCGAGAGGCCTTTTGTGCCCGTGGGTGTGAGGCGGGGTTGGGAGAGGGGCTAGGTTTGGTCCTGCTGTCCATGGAGGGGTGAGGACGCGTGAGGCCCTGTGAGTGGGCATGTGTTGCTTCCCACGATGTCCACATTGGGGCGGCCTCTGAGTGTCAGAGGCGGCAAGCTGGGCCGGGCAGTGAGGAGATGGCCGTGTCCCTCCCTGGCCCTGCCCTCCAGCACGTGCTCGTTTCTGGGCGGCTTCTGTCATTCGTGGTGGTGGAGCTGGAGTGCAAAGAGCTCAGGTCTGAGGGTCCCAACTCCTGTTGCCGTGTGTGCACACAGTGTGTGTGCATGCACACAGTGTGTCAGCCGAGTGCGGCCGGCCTGGTTCCAGGTGGCGGAGCCCACCGGGTGCATCCCGTGCTGTGGGGCTTCTTCCCTGCAGCCTGCAAACGGTTGTGGACGCGCGGGTCTCCACGCCCAGGGGAGCAGCGCTGCTGGGCTGCACACCTGGCGTCGTGTGCTGTGCGGGGCTGAGTGGGGGAGCTGGGTGGGCACTGGCCTTTACCTAACCCGCCTTTCTTCTCTCTTCTCCTGCTGCATCGGCCAGGGCCCGTCCATTCCCTCACTCCTTTAGGTAAGACCAGGCACGCGTGTGGGCGGCCCCCGTGCCTCAGGGCACGGGACAGCCAGCCTGTGGGATGCTGTGCCGGGTGAAGGTGCTGAGGAGCTGGGAACTGCCCGACGTGGCCCCTTTCTAGCACGGCAGGGCCAGCTCTGGCCATGTGTAAGAACACAGGGCGGCTTCTTGAGCTGGGGGCCCTGTGGGTTGTCTCTGGCCGAGTGACCCATGCAGGTCGTCTCCCCAGCAGTGAGGTGTGCCTACCTGGGCGCTGTTGCTGTCCTGTGCTGACCAGCCCCCAGAGCAGGTCCATCTAAGCACCCCCGAGGGGACTCTCTGCAGGAGCCCTGTTTGTGGGGTGGGGCGGGCGGACCCGGGCCATCCTGCTCCAGGCTGAGTTTCTCCCATGGGGACCTGAGACTTGTAGCTGCCCCAGGGTCCCAGCGGGACCCGTCTGGTGTGTGGGACCCGTCCGAGTGGCTCTGGCTCTCAAGGCTCACACTCCTGGCTCGGAGGCCTGGAGCCTAAATCCAGAACAGTCTCTGATTTTACGTGCTTTTTACTCACTTGATCTGGGGGGGTTCTTTGGACAAAAAGTCATTGAACTTACTGTGAAGTCAAGTAAGGACACCTGGCCACCACGTGTTCCAGAAGCTTCTCTAAAGCTCCAGTGGTCTCCCTCCACAGCATTGCACTCGGGGGCCGCTTTGGGGGAGAGGGGGCCTTGGGCTGCATGTTCTGCCTGGCGAGAGGCCTTCCAAGGCTCCTTTCAGTTTATTCCCATGGTGCTGGGGTCAGGGTCCTGTTGCCCCCCTTGCAAAGCCTCGTGAAGGCCAGTCTGTCCTCGCCTTAACTCTCCCTTCCTTCTCTGCTTTTACCATGCTTCCAAGCAGCAGCTACTCCATCCGCCACTCGATAAGTATGCCGGCCATGAGGTAACGTCCGCTTTGCCCAGAGGCTCTCACGGCAGGGCGGGGGTGGGTGGGAGCAGGCGCCTTCCCACTGCCCTGAGCGAGGCCCACCTTCCCCTGGCGGCCAGCTCCTTTCAGATAAGGACTGGGAAAGACCCCTCCTAGGCCAAAGAGCTAGTGGGGGCTCAGAGGCTCAGAGGAGAACTCCACACTCCATCCAGAACCTTCCAGGACTGCCCACAGGGGCAGGCTGGGGTGGGGCGGAGAGGCTCCCGTGCACACCTGGTGCCCAGAGGCTGCAGCTGCCTGCAGGCCTTTTGTGGAGACTGTTCTGTCTGCTCTCTGGCCAGTCCCCCCGCCCCCAGGAGCCCATCCCTGTGAAAGGACTAGCAGCTGCCACACCACAGAGCTCGCTGGTGGTCCCTGCCGGGGCGTGTGGCCCGCAGGCCCTGGGGGCGTGGTTGTGTGGGAGGTGCTGGCGGAGCTGGGACTGCTTGTGCTCTCCTCCTGCCTCCTCCCGCTCTCTGGTCCCGGGGTGCTGCGGGGTCCCTTTGGCTTCATTCCAAAACAGGTGCGTGTGGAGTGCACATCCGGTGGTCCCTTCCCCAGCACAGGTGCTTCGAGGGCCTGGCAGAAACGCACCTGCGTCCACCTGTGGCCCAGGCGCGGGTCCTGCAGCTTCCCCATGTGAAGCCTGGGTCTCTCCAGCTAGTGGCCAGCAGGTCATGTCCTTGTGGTCAGCAGGTGTGGCCAACCTGGCTGGGACCCGGTGATGCCTCCTAAATGACCTTGGCTGGGTTCTGTGGAAGGGGTGCCCCTACCCCTTCTTCTGGCAAGTCTTGTTTTTGTAGTGAGACCTCAGGGTGGTCAGAGCACTTTGTAGTGGACAACCCCAATCTTGAGGCCCTGGCGTTGGGGGCAGCACAGCCGTGGGCTCCTTACACTGACCTCTGCTTCCTCTTTCATTAAAGGAATTCTGCCACCTTCAAGTCACTTGAAGACCGAGTTGGGACCATAAAGGTAACCGCCTGGGTCATTTGCTTCTCTTAGTGGGGACCTGTCCCTTGGGTGGACCTATTTAATTGCTGAAGATTTGTGCAGAGAGCCCTGGGCCTGTTCTGATTTCCTTAGAGGGGACCTGTAACGACACCCCAGTGTGACTTCGACATAGGTAGAGAGCAGTTCACCCCACAGAGACCCCTATGGTGCCCACCCTCTGCCCGCCCCTCCCCAACACCCGCTGGCCTCCTCTCCAGGTCCGTAGTTTTGTAACCCAGGAAAGTTGCAAGTGGAGCCGTGCAGCGAGCAGCCGTTTGGGACAAGCTCCCTCTCGTCGCTGCAGAGTCCTGGGAGTCGGGCACAGCCCGTGGCCTGTGTCCGTGGCACCTGCCTTTCTTTTGCTCAGCAGCCCTCACGTTCCGTACACTTGTGTAGAGGTGTGACCACCGCAGGCTCCTGGCAGGTGCCCGGGGTCTTCCAGGCCCCGTGTGCACTGCCTCACGTTGGTCTTCTGGTCTTTCTCCATCTGCAGTCGAAGGTGGTGGGCGGCAGAGAGAATGGCAGTGACGGCCTTCCCTCCCCGGCCGGGAGTGGCGACAAGCCCCTGCCCGGTCACGAGCCCTTCTAAGCCTGAAGCAGCTCTGCCGCCACGGAGCCGGCGCAGCACCCTCTTCACGGCGGCCCCCCTTCCCCGTGCGGTGGAGCGGCAGCGGCTGCAGAGGACGCGTGGAGCAGCTTTGAGGACAGTCGTGCCACCCACATGCGGACAGGCCTCTGCACCGCATGTCTGAGGGACGGTCCTGTACACAGATGCTTCTCACTAAAGTCGTTAGATGGAGCAGATAGATCACTGTGCCATCCTCCTGGGGGCAGGAAGTGACGGGGCAGAGCCGAGCACTCCCCGTGGCGGCCTTGTTCGTTCTTCAACAGGTGGCGCCAGGGAAGAGGGGCTGGGATCACACAGCTGCTGGCGTGTAAACCCCGCCTTCCCTGAGCCAGGGTCCAGAAGCCCGTCTGGCCTGCAGGCGCCCTTCGGAATGCTGAACAAGGAGATCGTCCGCTTTCTGAAACCCTCCGCCAAGATGCTGACTGTCAGCTGCCGCCTGATTGTTACACTAATGACCCAGCTTTAACTAAAGCAAATTCTTTATTTTTTAAATGCAGAGGGTTTTTCAAAATTTAAAACTAAGCAAAGCAGCTTTAGCCTTGTAGTTAGAGAACATTATCTGGACTCAAGCTGAAATACAAGCCTTATATCACCTTACGCGGTGTTTGTAACGTTTATACGTGGAGGGAGAGCCCTTTGGCGCGCTCTGCGCATCACACAGAACACAATTCCACATCCGCCTGCCTCTGCCAGCGGCAGCCCCGTCCGCACGCCGCACCCTAGCATGCGGGGCTCTTGCCCCTCGCTCTTCTCAAGGCCCTGGCAGCTCCCACGGGCTCAGGCTCCTGGGCCCGTGGGGTGGAGGGAGAGTCACGCCCCAGTGCTGCCACACTACCCTCAGGGGGGCCGGGCCTCACCAGGCCCTGCTGCAAGGCACTGTCGGGGGCTCCGCCCACCTGTTTGATGCACACCTGGGACTCCGGGAAGCACGGGGGCTGGGCAGGGCTGGGCATGAGGTCTGCTGGACCTGCGCTGTCACCTCTCAGGAGCTGCAAAGATCTCTCCCCTTTCGAAGCTGCCACACCCCAGCAGCCTCTCACCCAGTGTCCCAGGTGTCAGGTGTGTTTGGAGGGGCAGCTTGTGCCTTACTGGCTCTCTGCGGGCCCAGACCTCACCTGCGTGTGACCTGTGCACGCCAGGGGACTGCTGTCCATGCTCACATTCCGTTCCTCCTTCAGTTAGACTCCCAACGAGGTGTGGCAGGAGGCGGGGCTCCTGGCTGACTGGTCTTCTCCGTGAACAGCGGGCTCTCTGTCAATAAAGCATTCCTTCGGGGGAACGTGCCCTTCATGTCGTGTGGTGTGTTGTGCTTCGTTCGGGACAGTGACAGAAGAGCGGTGCACACAGGACGAGATTCCTGTTGTCGTGGGCCTGTGCCCTGGGGAGAGGCAGGGAGGAAATGGATGATTTCAAACATGGATGGCAAGTCTTCCAATGTTGCGAAGAAAACAGTGTGTGAGAGGATGTGAAGGTGAACCTGTGTGCTCTCCGGGGAAGGAGCCGGGTTGCAGGCTGGGGCAGGGCTGCGCTGCCGCATTGAACAGGCAACGGGGATTTGCCCCAAGGAAGCTGAAGTCCCCAAGCATCAGGTTACCCTTGTGTAGCTGGTGCAGAGCAAGGCAACCACACGTCCCTTGGGCTGGTGCGGGGAGCTCACCTTGGGGGTTGGGGGCTATGTACCTGTCCTCAGGACCCTGCAGAGTGCTGCAGCCACATGAACACGTGGCTCTGTCCAGGAAGAGGGGGGCCTGGCTCCGAGCACAGTCCCCGAGGAGGGGAGGGAGGGCAGTCTCCAGGGTCAGCTTTGGGTTGGTGAGCAGCTGCATGGCAGGCCTTCCTCCAACAGGGGCTCTGTTAGGTTTCCTTTTTAATCTTCGTTTGTTTTTTTTTTTTACATTACTTTTTAGTTCTCTTAAGTTTTCAAGGTCCTCTGTCTACAGGACTCAGTGATGACAAGGCTCAGAAACCTGTGCGATCCCACCTGTCCCCTGACTGCCCCCCACCCAGCCTCTGTGACTGCTACTCGTTAATCGAATATTTGGGAGGGTGTTTTTGAAGGTTTTATTTATTTTTAGAGAGTGGAGAAGAGGGATAAAGGGAGAGAAACATAAATGTGTGGCTGCCTCTTCTGCACCCCTGACTGGGGACCTGGGCACGTGCCCTGACCAGGTGTTGCACTGGAGACCCTCTGGTTTGCAGGCCGGCGCTCTGTCCACTGAGCCGCAGCAGCCAGGGTGTCTTTAATCCAGTATGTCTTCATGCAAACGCAAATAGGAATGTGGATTCTCATTTGCTTCTCTGCTCCAAAAATGCCACAGTGTCACTGCTGTGTCCAGAAGTGCTACCTGCACCCACCTCTAAGGCTGGTGCCCGGGAGCCTCCATCTCTTGCCTGTGTTGCACACCCGCCCGTTCCCAACATCCTGGGTTTACAGCAGGTAACCCCCTCACTGGGAGCCTCACTCTTTCTTTGGGGTCGGAGAGCCAGGCGCAGCCTAGATATAATAGCAAGGAAGGATGGCAACCTCCCAAACACCATCAAGAGCAGCCTAGTGCACGGGCCTTTTTCTGTATCCAGGGAATGGGTTTCTGTATCCAGGAAGAATGTAACCGCATCGGAACTGCTAGTTCAGGGAGGGTCTCAGTAAGGCCTGCTTCATTCATTCTTGCTGCTCCCAACCCAGTGCAATCTGAAACTGGTACCAGGTCCGATTTGTTTTCTCCTTTTTCCGATGAATCTGACCCGAAACCTCTCATCCTCTTGAATCGGGAGGCATAGCTATCAACCTGCCTTTTCTTGCTGCCTGCTTGATGTTGTGCGAGGTAACAACTGCCAGGAACCTCCCGAGCTTTCTGCCCTTTACAGGCCCTGGCCCTGGGAAAGACCAGATGGTATAAGGGAACAGCGCGATGGCAAAAGGTGGAAGACGCGGGCAGAGGTAGACGGGGCAGAGCTTGTTGGCAGGCAATAAACTGTGGGACTACTGCGCTCACAGGGAGTCTAGATAGCGAAGGGTGGCGAGGTCTCCCTTCCTTCGGGTCCGTAACATGAGCGGGGGCTCCGCCCAGGCAGAGGGACTTGAGTGGAAGCTGCTCCTGCCCTCCCGCGCTCCCGCACCATCGTGTGTGGGAGGTCCTGGGAGGTTAGCTGGACGCGGCAGGGGCACTTGGGTGGCTGATCAGGAAGAAAGGAAGTTCCGGCGGTGAGCAAGCGTCAGTCCCACTGCAGCTGGGGAGCGTGGTCGGCCTCCGGCTCAACTCCGACCCGTTTCGTCTCCCGTCTTTGATGAGAACAGTTACGTTTTCTCCATCTTACGTAAAGCGCTGAGCAAACTCAGCTCAAGACAAGTCCCCGCACCTCTCCTGGGCGGCTCACCGCAGCCCCGGCCGGCCCAGCCGAGAACACCAGAGGTAAGGCCTGGCAGCCCTCGCTTCCGGCTCCGCGGGGGTGAGACCCGCCCACTGGCTGTCACTTGGGACCCCGCCCCTAGTGGGCGGGGCCTCTACCCAGTGCTCTGGGCGCAGGCGCAGTTGGCTCCGCCCACGGCAACGAACCGGCAGGGCCCACGTCCTTCCGGGGGGGCGCGCGCGCCAGTGAGGGTGCGTGCGTGAGCGTGCACGAGCGTGCGTGTCCCCGCCGCTTCTGCCGGTTCTGCTCCCGCGCCCTCTGCCGCTGCCCCCGCTACCGCTGCCGCCGCCGCCACTTCTCCCCGGGGTCTCCAAGGCGCTGCCCCGGCTGAGGAGTGCGTCGGCCGGCTGCCCACCAGCGTTGCGCAGCGGAGCCGCGGAGCCGGCGGACGGGCGGGCGGGCGGGCGCGCGGACAGGTGAGCTCGCGGCGGGCCCAGTGGGCCTCCCGTCAGGCCGGGGTGGGCGGCGGGGCGAGGGGGCAGCGGTGTGTGCTGGACGCTTCGGGACGAGGGATCCGAGGGCTGTGCGGGGGTCTCGGGGCGAGGGTTCCTCGGTGCGTGGGGCCTCGGGACGCGGGGCGGTGCGCCGCAGCCGGAAATGGCGGCGACCCTCCCTCGGGGCCGGGATGCGGGGTGGGCGGGGGCGGAGCTTCGCGGAGGCCCGCATCGGCGGCGGGGCTGTGGATGCTGCTGCTGGGAGAGGCCCTTGCGGCGGGGCAACCCCCTGGCGGGCGGAAAGGTGCGCCTGCCGCACGCCCGGCCCCACGCGTGCCTCTGTTGGGTTGGCCCCACAGAGCGAGGCGGGCGGGCCCCCGCACGCGGGCGCGGCCGCGCCCGGGGGTCTCGGTCTTCCTCCTCCTCGCTGGTGCTGCCAGGTCGGGGCGTGCTCGAGGCCTCCCCCACCCCCACTGTTCCCGTGACCGACGGGAGGGTCTTCCTTCCTGCGTGGTGGTGCCTGTTTCGATTCTGACTTGTGTGTTAGGTCTGGATTAAGGACGCCCTGTTTCATTGCCTAAGAGGATTTCTCAAAATTCGCTCAATTGTGTCATATAGAGAAAGGAAGCAAAAGTCTTGGTTTTATTTCTGTCTTCGAGTTTAGGCTCAGTCAGGGACTTTTTACCCAGCTGGTCGTAGCCTCAGCGGTGCCCTGACTGAATTGGCAGACACCTCCATCCTCCCTTAGTTGTGTGTTTAAAAACTATCTGGAAGACAAGAGCATCAAATAAAAATCACTCCATCTGTTGCCATGGCTGCATTAAGGTTTTATGTTCATTCAGTTGCTTCTCTCTTCCTAGAGGATTTGGTGAGTTTTGGGACTGAGTGATCTGTCCCCATGAGAGATGAAAGGAGGAGCCAGGAATTCTGGGCTTCTGGAAACTCCATGACCTAGTGCATGTGGTTTTCCCTCCACCTGGGTCAGGGCTCTGGGCCGCTCCTGGCCAGTCCTGGCAAGGACTGTAGGGTAGCTCTGGCCTGCTGGGCCAATCTGCTTGGACAATGCAGATGGCTCTGTCCCTCCTCGGTCACTGTAGATGGTGTGGTGACCAACGCTGGACTCTGAGGCAGAGGTGTGTTACAGGTCCCCTTGTCCCGATCACGGGGCTGTGTGGAGAGCAGCCTCTTGGGCATGTGGAAGAGACTGAGCCCTGCTGAGGGACCCTGTGGGGAGCCTGTGTGGCCCCCAGGAGGATGGATGCTTGGAGAGGATGCTTGTCAGGCCATCCTGCCCCTCACTCCGTGACCTGTCAGCCCTCAGCAGCCCCATCGGCCTCCTTGCTGGTCTCCAAGCAGGGTCCCACGCTCTGGGCGCAGGTCTGCCAGGCACACTCAGCTTCCTCCTCCTGCTCGTGTTTCCTGATGTCAGGGCCGTCCTGACTCCCCACAAGGCTGCAGTTCTCCCAGCGACTCTGCAGTGTCTGTCACACTGAGTGTCTCGCTGTGCGGTGAGTCCCCAGGGAGACCGTGTGGTGTAGACAGAGGTTGCTGGTGCACACCCAGGAAATACTTGTTGAGTGGATGGAAGTGAGAGCCTGGGGACTGGCAGCTGTGTGACAGACTCCATGACCTCGTCACTGGGCAGCGATGGTGGGTGCGACCGCGCCGTGGGTCCTGGGCTATGAGGGAGGTGGATAGCAAATCCCTGCCCTTTGGGCCAGTGGTGAGGCAGGTCAGGGAGGTTCCGGGGACTGCTCTGTGCACCTTGTTGCAATTTCTATAATTGTTTCAAAATAAAAAGGTTTCAAAATCAGATCTGCCACTGGTAATGCGTTTAGAAATTTTGTCTTTGGTTACCAACCCCTCCCCCCCAAAAAACCCCAAACCCACATGCTCGTCTCCATGTCCTCTGTGTCATCTGTGGGTGGAGCGGGGTGAGTGGGGTGGCAGCTAGGGCAGCTTCGAGCAGTGAGCTGGTCCCGAGACGCTGCTGAGGCGCTGGGACGACCCTGGGGCCACAGGGCTCTGGAGGCGTGGCCACACTCTTACCCAGCACCCACGTTGACTCTCAGGGGGTTTGGTGGTGTCTCTAAGGCGACTCTGTTAATACAGAGGATTGAGTGGGGGCCGTGCTTCCTCAGCCAGTGCTGTCCTTGAGTCCCCTTCATGTGCAGAGAGTCAGGGTCACTGTGCTTGGGCGTGTGTGCTGTCTCCCAGCACTTGCCCACTCTCAGACCAGACTCCTTCCTGTTCTGCCCCCTGCAGAGTCCCACGGCCAGCTGCTCATGGCCTGTAGAGCCCAGGCTGCAAGGCTCACGCTGTCCCAGGTGCAGGAGTTTGCTGAGCGGGCAGCTACAGTGCAGTGGGGTTGGGGGTCATGAAGCTGTGGAGTTTTATCCAAAGTGGGAGTTTGCTTCTAAAGTCGGGGGGGTAAGATGAGCAAGATGCACACAGATACAGTGCCCCTTGGGAAAATCCTGGACTCTCCCTAAAGTAGTCTGTGCAGGTGTGGGGCAGCTCAGGACAGGTGGCCGCTCGGCCAGCGGCTGTAGGGGCGAGGGGAGCAGTCTGTGTGTGGAGTCGCTCTGCAGGCCTGTGTTCTCACGACCCTGTAGCACCTTCAGATGCCACCCCTGCTCCTTCCCGGACCCCATCAGTAGCGCTGCCACCAGCACCAGGGCTGGAGACGGGCAGGTGCCAACCTCCGTGTGGATCGGCGCCCTCGACACTCGGTGCACTTCCCCAGACGTGAGCGGTGACGTGAGCAGGATCGGCAGGCACATGTCTGCTGGTCTTCCAGGTGGCTTTTTCGGAATATCGGGGGGCGCAGACAGTGCACTGCAGCTCCCTGGCTTGGAGCTCCCATGTCACGGCCATGCGCGGCATGTGCTGTGAGGTAGGCAGACCGCGTCTTGGCTGCAGAAGGCAGCAGGTTTCCAGGAGGAGACTCTTAGCTCCCCATGCCTTACCCCCAGATGAGGATGGGGTGCTTGCCCTGCCTGCAGTCGGGGTGGGGAGTGCGGGAAGTGGTGGATGGAAAGACTCCTCATCAGTTGCTTCCTGAAGATGAGGAACGAAGATGGTAAAAAGTGATGACAGTCGTGTCTTACTGAAGGGAACTAACTGCCTTGACCGCCCTGGCACTGGGCGGCTCTTGGGCAGTGACCTCCCCGGAGGGGATTAGCAGTGTGTCGCTGAGCCGCCACCCAGAGGATTTCAGGATTAGATTACCAGACCGCCTTTAGTTTAGATTTTGTCTGTCCTTATTCTTCCAACTCATTCTGTGTGCTTGAGTTCTGCCTCAGTTCTTGGTACTGACAGAAAATAGATTCAGGTCCTCGGTAAATAAAATTGTTTTAAATACTTAGAGTTTTGCAAACACATTGGGAGTTAGCACTGAAATTGCAGAACTTACACCTCGTTCTGAAGAGGGAAGTGTCGGTGGCCCCGGGCGGTGTCACTGGAGATGGCACCACGTACACTCCCCCTGTGAGGACTGACCCGTGTGCATGGAAAGCTCATCTGCTCCCAAAATCACCGTGCACGTGTCCACAGACACAGCTTTTAAAACTGGGTTCTGTCTTTTAACCCCCGTGGTGTTTTTAAATAACATGATTCCTGGTGAGTGGTCTGGACGGTTCCTTAAATGTGTGTGGGTGAAGGTTGCTCCTCATCACGGGCTATTTCAATTTCATTGTCCTTTCAACTTTTCCTGCACTGCTGGTGGTTTCCAGGATGAAAGGTGTGGTCATTGGCGTCTCCCCTGCTGTGTCCCAGAGAGTCTGTGCCAGCTGGTCACAAAGTTGCAGTTCTGGGAGTCAGAGGATCGGAATGCCGTGGATCAGCCGTGCCCCGCCCTGGCTTCTCTCCAGAGGGTCGGCCTGTTTCTTACAGCCTCCTGGCCCAGTGGAGGGGAAAGGTGTCATGGTGGCACCAGTGGAACCAAAACCTCCTGTCCTACGCTGACCCTGCATGGTTTCAAGGGTCAGGTGCCTCGTGCGGGGGCTCAGGCCGAGACCTCAGGCTCCACAGACACCCTGTGCCAGGGGGGTGGCGCCCAGGGCTGGAGGCGGCGGGGCAGGAGTGAGGGCTCCCCGCCCTGCAGAGGGCCACCAGCTGGCTCACACCCCTGCTTGGTTGGGGAAGGGTCGGCAGCACAGCAAACGCTGGTTCTCAGGCAGGCCGCCCTGCTTCGCGTTCCTGTGTCGGGTCGGAGCGTCCGAGACAGCCAGTGACGGGCGGGGTCGCTCTGCCGTGTGTTCCCGACCGAGCTCAAGTGCTGTCAGTGAGTGCCTCCCGCCTCGCCTGCAGAGGCTGTCCCCAGTGTCCCCAACATCCCCACGGCACCAACGGCACTCCGGTGCCTGTCCAGCTACTGCAGTGAGGCCTGGTGCCGAGAGCCGAGAGCCGCGGTGTCTTCCGGTAAATGTTATTCCTTCAAATGAGAATTTAGTTACATGTTGCTAAAAGAAGGAGTGATGAAACCTAAACTGATATAACAATTTAGTTATAAATAAAGTTAAATGGTTAGTTTAGATGGACTTTCTTAAGTTCACAAAATCAGTCAACATCGCTCTCGTCTCTGATCCGCATCTGAGAACATTTTTCATTACGTTTAGAGAGCGAGGGGAGAGAGGTGAGCATTGTGTGAGTGAGAAGCATTGACCTATGTCCTCTCATGTGCCCGGGGCTGGGGGTCAGGCCTGCTGTACCAGGGACTGAAGCAGCAACCCAGGCATGTGCCCCGACTGGGAATCGAACCCGCGACCCTTTGGTTCCCAGGCCAGCGCTCAGTCCACTGAGCTACACCAGCCACGGCTATGAAGCATTTCTTAACTCGTCCAAGTGCAGGTGTTCCCTGTTTGAAACTGTGCTTCTCATGAAATTCCCTAGAGGGTGCCTCCCCCCCCAGTAGGCATGACACGGCCCTGCTGCTGCTCGAGAAGCAGCCCGCGTGACGCAGCGCGGGCCCCCGGTCCCCA